GGCAAAAATTCGCTCGAAAAATTCCGCATCCTCGACGCTCCCTCGACAAAATTTGAGAGACCCTATCTCTTCGAGTGTAAAGATTTTAGATCAATTTCAATATTGCCCGGTAGTAGCAAATCCAGCTCTCTACCACATACTGCTCCAAAACTTATGAAATGGGGGAATGGAACCTTTTCATTCGACGGTTTCGAGCGGGGTTTCGGCAAATCTGACCCACGGATAAACCGCGCTGCAACCGAATGCTTTGCTGTACATTGATGGAACTCGCTTATTCACATCAAATCAAAGTTAGAGGGGTCGTATCAAGATCCCGATCTGAGGGGGGGTCGTACTGATCTGACCACGTCCTCGACACGATTTTCACCCTGTATAGCAGTGAGCATTGTGGTGTAGGGGTAGCGCTCTTGCTATAAGTGAGTGAGGTCGCATGTAAGAGTCCTTTGCTATGGCGTATATTTGCATTTTTGCAGGGCCTCTCATACGAGTCCGTAAAACATTTACAATTGGTCATTTTGTTGACATGCGTCCCCACTTGGCACTTGGAGGACGCAGACTCTAGAATTTCCTACCCGCGTTTTTTGTATAGGTTTTTTATTAGGATGAATGTTGAAACATGTAAGACTCACAAACATACAAAATTTCAATATTTCAGAGCACATGTGATAGCCTTACAAAATAATCTAGAAAGGTTCCAAGGCTGCTTTCCGGCTCTTCTTGTGTAGGGCGAGTGGTTAGGGGGAGTGGAGGGCACTACTGTGTGATAGCCACAGTGAGAAGAATCCCTCGTAACTTCTTCTTCTTCTTATTCTTCAGCGTTTGTCCCGCTTGTGGCGGGGTCCGCTTTTCTGATGTGTTGACGCCACTTTTCCCGATTAAATGCTTGATCGGGGTGGATCCAACTAACTTCAAGTCTCATGCAACGTATCGAGCCATCGCTGCTTCGGGCGTCCTCTTGGCCGCTTTCCTGGCACGTTAAAGTCCAGACCGACCTACCACCTCAGACGAGCTTCGCGCATCTTATCAGCGATGGGAGCCACACCGAACCGCTTTCTGATGGTATCGTTGCGAATGTGGTCTAAACGCGTGACCCCGGCAGTCCAGCGCAGCATTTTTGTCTCCATTACACTGAGACGAGCCTTCAACTTCTTTAGTCACGGGCCAGCACTCTGCTCCGTAAATGGCGACTGGTCGGATGACGGTTCTGTAGATCTTAGATTTCAGTCGCTCTGGTATTTTCTTATCGCAGAGAACGCCAGTCATCGAGCGCCATTTGGACCAAGCTGCACTCACGCGAGAATTCACTTCAGAGACCAGGCTGCCGTCAGACGCGATTGCTGATCCAAGATACTTGAATGATGTTGTACGTGTGAGCTCAGTACCATTGATCTTAATAGAGCCTGGCTCACTCGAATCGGTGGTCAAGTACTCTGTCTTCTTCACGTTCAACCTGAGCCCAAACATAGCCAGACGGTCGGACCAGGTTTGCACCTGTTGCTCGAGCAGATGTTTGTCTTCGCAGGCGAGCATCACGTCATCAGCATAAAGAAGCGTCCATGGAGCCGGTTTCTGAAGATCTCGCGAAATGGCATCC